GGAGCATCAGGATAGTAATATCCCTCCTATTGCCGTACTTGACGTACCAACTTCTCCTTCACCTGACCCAGTCGCACGGACCAAGCGACGATTCCCACTCAAACGAAGGTCTTCTCGCCTCGCCGCCAAACGAGCCGCATCTGCCTCCCCTACCAAACCATCACTCAAGCGATCAAGATCACCATCTCCCCCAGACCAGTCTTCATCCGTCACCATAGTAAAAACGCCACCGGTCGATAATGTTGTATGTCGTAACTGCCACATCGCTGGTCATCGACACAAGAACTGCCCTGCGTACTACTGCAGAGTCTGCAAGGAATACGCACCTGGTCATCTGTCAGTCTTTTGTAAAGACTTGAAGGGAGAAGCGGTCATTCCATTAGTATGGACTGACGTTGGTTTTTATGACGCACTCGCTCGATGGGAGATTGAGCAGGACGCCATCGCTCATGCTGAGCATTTGGCGCAGCCCCTTACTATCACGGAGGAACAAGATGATCTCCTCGATTCCAACTACGATGCAGACCCCATCTACTGGGCTAATCAGGATATGTGAAGTCGGTGACTTCATCGCTAAACGAGGGGTAATGTTACAGTAACGGTTGCCCCCTATCATTTTCTCCATTATATTCCTTTGTACTACGCCATGACCGCACTGAACCGTGCCATCACTAGGCTATTCCTTTATTCCGCTTAACTCATGTATCACAGCGCGACCGCCTCGTGCCATCGTTAGCTGACGTCATTTCTCTTATCTCTGACTCGTCTCGATGACGTCATTTCTCTTATCTCTGACTCGTCTCGATGACGTGTACGTACCGGCCCTAAAGTAGGCCTTACCTATATAAGCAGGATCTTGTACTTAGTTAGACTTCACTTTAATCTACTAGGTTTCACCCAGAACATCCTTCGCTTAGAACCTCCAATTCTAAGTGTCTGATACCGATATTCAAGAGAGAGACACCCTCTCTTTCTTGTCTTAAGAACCTTACATTTGTGAGGACACGATCCGGCTTTAGACGTTACTCTTATCGAGTATCTATTGTCGAGCCCATCCTAGTCGACCTACGGTTCGCCGTAACACTAATGCTGTGTCTAGCTTTAACAGGTTATGAGCCCTGCTCACTCGTAAACAAGGAGCGGAATTACCTTCTAGACACTAGCAAACCACCCCGCCAGGTCATAGAACCCCTGGGGTATCCCTATCCAGGACCACATTGACTTCTATCGACGTCATCCAGGACAACGTTGACTGATATAGACGTCATCAAAGTGTTTGTCCTCTTCCTCTTCAGGCGAGAAGCATCAACCCGTGTGTATATATACCTGTGTCTTACAGGTCGTCAATCCCCCATCTTCCATCCACCATTATGCCTCCTACAGCACATACCCATTCGCGGAGCTCTGGTACTAAACCATCTACACTTAGCCCTCCAGCCTCTACTCCAGCCTTACCTAATGTCACCTCTATGACCCCTTCACAGGCCACCATCACAGCAATCACACTTAGTCAGACCGACCTAGACAAAATCGAGGTTCTCGACTGCAGTAAAAACAACTGGGGCATATGGTCTGACCATATGCAGAACTATCTCCTTCTCAAACATGGGGGTGGATACATTCTGGGGCTTGTGACATGTCCCAACCTGTCTCTAGACCCCATTAGTGCAGGTCATTGGGACTTGAACAATTTATGCATCATCGCTGCCTTACGAACTCACTCCAGTCCTGAGGAAAATGACTTCCTTTGCAATCATACCAACACATACCTTGCTTGGGGTGCCCTAAAATCTCACCATGAGAAAGTGGGCCCAATTGCGCAAATATTATTAATCCAACAGGCACTTTCTGTGCGATACCACCATTCTGAACACCTCTCTACCACCAGTACGCAACTCAGTGACCTCATGCGACATATCTACACCATTGGTATACCAAAGGAAGAGGATTTCCTTACCATCATGATGCTTAACGCTATGGCAGAAGATCTCCCCCATGTCTGAAACCACATTGCAGACACCATCACTACCAGCACACCCACCACTCCCTATGGCCCTTCGAACATTCGCTCCCACCTCGATGTCGAACAACAGCTCATTGATACCAAAAGGTCAAAAAGTGGAGATGTCGCCATGGCTGCTACTGGAAAGAGTAATGGTACCCAGAATTGTGAGCATCATGATCGTCCTGCCTGTAGTACCTGTGGCCACACCAGTCATCCCACCAAAGACTGCTTCAGCAAGGGAGGAGCCATGGAGGGTAAGCACGATGAGGTATTGGTGCACAAATGTGCTGCTCGCAAAGCTAGAGGGGCGACCACAGGCAAAGCACCTGCTGCTAAGCCCTCGGCTGCCACTGGTAAACCAGGCAGCCTTAGATATGATACCGCTGGTTGTGCATACTTGCTTGATAGCAAAACTCACCAAGTGATCTATGTGGCTACCCCTGATTCAGCCAACTCTCCTAATCCTTCAACTGAATTCGCTGGCCTTGTTAGTGACACCATCATGCCCACCTTCATTTGTGAATTGTCAGCTGGGGAGGAGGATGAGTATACCGCTCTGGCCGCAGTCGAGGCTCCAACTACAAGCCTCGACTGGCGCTCGCACACGTGCCCTGTCAACTTCGCTGGGATCACCTACAAGGCTCCAAATCAACGTCAGTGTACTATCATGGATCCTTCCATTATCCCACTCTTCTTAGACAGTGGCGCATCCATCCATATTAGCAATGAAGAGTCTGATTTCTTCAGCCTTCGTCCTATACCCCCTCGTGCTGTTAACGGAGTTGGTGGCTCATCTATTCAGGCTGTTGGCATGGGCACTTTATGCCTTGTTATTGCCAGAGGTATCCATATTACCCTGGACAATGTTCTGTTTATTCTAGCGGCTACGGTACGCCTGATCTCTGTCTCCACACTCTGCGTGGCACACTGCTGCACCACATTGTTTGACACCACTAGCTGCTGGGTTCAGTCTCGGAGCAGCAATCACATGCTATCTGGCACCCTGACTTCATGCCAGTCTCTATGCCCTTTCTGGTGGGCAATTGTCTGCTGAACATGCCTACCTCGCACAACAGACACCCACACTTCAATCTTGACACTGCTGGCTGGGGCATGCCAACTTCCGTGCTGTATATGACCTTGCCCATTCTGGTAATGTTACTGGTATGCCCATTGACCTCTCTGTCATACCATCCAAGTGTGACAGTTGCATTCTTGGCAAACAGACTTGAAGTAATGTCCCCAAGGCACGTACAGGGAAGTGGGCGAGTAAGAGGCTTGAGATTGTGCATGTTAATCTTATGGAACATCCTGATACTGTATCTGCCGCTAGTAATAAATATGTCATGAACATCATTGATGATTTTTCTTCCTATGCCTGGGCCATCCTGCTTGCAGCCAAGTCAGATGCTGGTTGTTTAGCTGCCTCCCAATGAACAGGACTGTAACAGTCAAGGTGTTGACATAATTGTTGTACTGCATGTGCGATGTCAGGGCAAGTGCCGATAGCAAGGTACATCAGGGAGCTAATTAATGAGCGATATGGTGTTTTGGACATGAGGTCACATTGCGTGTCTGATGAGGGCAAGTGAGTGCAACGAGAGAGGTGTAGACCAGTTTCCATTGGCATGGATACAGGGACAGCATCCTTCAAACTGAATTGTTGGATGATACGATCAATTAGTGCAGTTTGTGAGAGACTGATTGTGCGATTTGGACAGTTCCACTCGATCGCAATCCCTAAGCAGAAGTGTGCTTCTCCCAAGTCAGAAACAGTCCACTTAGTGCACAGCTGATCTTTGAAATTCAATATGACGTCCTTAGTGCTCCCAACAGTGAGGAAATCGTCTACATGAACAGCAACAAGGAGAGTACCAAGGTCAGTCTGTCGATAGTAGATACAATGTTTGCATTTGAGCTGCATGAATCCCCAGGAGAGCATGGCTTCGTTCATGGTACGATTCCAGACAAGGCCCCCTTGCTTCATCCTGTACAGACCTTTCTGAAGCTCCCACACCCAGTCCTCTTTGCTGGGCTCCACTCAAAGGTCAAACATATTGATGTCACCGTCCACTCAATCTGTGAACGTGTCGTTAATGGCCAGCTCAAATTGCACTACGTCAAATCTTTAAACAATGTGGCCAACATTTTTACAAAGTCCTTACCCCATAAAGACTTCGAGCATTTGCATGTCTGCCTGGGCCTACAGTGAGGAATCGAGGAGGAGAGTTGTTCATCACGTCAAGGAGGAGTGTTGGTGCTACGACATGATGAACAACCGGCGGTGGAGTTAGGCAGTTGGAATACAAACCAACCTTTATTAGATTACCTCATGTCATCTTCTCCCCTCAGTCTGTTCCATCACAACTGAGGGTAAGTTCTCATTCGATCGGATCATACCTAGACACTGATGGACCAATTATGTTAGGCTAATGCTGTGTCTAGGTAGATTGCAATATAGTCTGTTCCATCATGACTGAGGGCTAATGCTGTGTCTAGCTTTAACACAACAACCCACCAAAACCGCTAATAGAACACCAGGGACAGAGTAAGTTATACCTGGGGTACATTGGGAATTTGCTGGCATTGCACATGCATATCTGTTATACATAGGTTGAGCACAAATTTATAACGTTCAGGACGTAAAAGCTGTCTTCCTACCGTTCTTCTCCAGATTTACTTTTGAGCTCACATTATTCACAAACTATCACATCTCACAAATAATGCATTTCCCCTCCTGGATCCTGAGAATTAAGGGTTGACTCAGAGGTGTCAACAAGGGCATTGATTGGGAGAGCCTTTTTATGGAAGATGTTTGGAGGATGCACAAATTTGAGGGTGGTGGGAGGTAGTGTTCCATGGATAACCCTCTGAGGGGTTATCCACTGTGGATATCCACCAGGCCTAAATGAGGGTCAGTTATCCACGGGTGAGTATGGTGGATATCCACCACCAGTAAAACCGGCCCGGCAATTCCAGGTGCTGCAAAATTTTGTGATCCATGGTGCATTTTGCAAAATTTAGCTTGATTTACAAGTCTAGATCTATCCTACACTCTATGTCATGTCCCAGTCTGCTTCAGTCAAGACCTTCTCTTGCACCAAAGTGCTTGCTGGCAGAAGAGTGACAGTGTTCTTCGGTGCTGCGGGTGCCAAATCTTTGTCAGCAAGCACATCAGCTAGCGTCGTGGAGTCAAGATTGATGATACTGGCAGCATCGAAAGCCTCGCCGTCAAAAGAATCCGCTTTTTTTGAGCCATTTTCAGCTATATCCTCGGGGTCAGTGACATCTAACTCTGAGTCGTTGTTCTCCACGTCTGGCTTGTCAGGTGCTTCATCTGCAAAATCGTCATCCACATCAGAATTTTCACTGTCATTGTCGTCTCCCTTCCCTCGCTTGCGCTTGCCACCAAAAATGGCCGATGACATATCTCGCCATTTGACAGTTGGTTTTTTTTGTGGCGGTGGTGCCTAGTAGTGAGGTCCGTGAGTTGCAAATGAATGAAACTATTGATGTATTGAACTCACAGAGGGATTATATCTGTACCAACTACGGATTTGAACTGTCCTGACAAGTGTTTTCACCTGCTGCCGACTGCGAAGTGGTGAGTTAAGCCATGTGAATGTTGAGCCAGTCCGCTCATCAGCCATCGAGTTGGGTACAAGCGAGAAAATTCGGACAGCAAGCCTCTGGTTGGACTACAACCAGCTTCGAGACAATATAATTGCAATTCTGACATACTGCAAGTGGCTGGGCATCCCCAGATCGGTCTTTGTCCAGGTAGCTCCACCATTCATATGCTGTCTCGTCAGTTCGAAGTTCACGATCGAAAGGGTAAACCTTTTTGATGTATTTTTTGATGAGGTCTTTCAAGCAACTGTTTGCCTCTGAGATACTCAGGTTTGCGATGGGAGCCTTTTGCTTCTCATATTCAATACGGAGCATTGAAAGTAGAAACTTTCCCATACGACGAACTGAATATGGGAGTTCTTTGTCCTGGGGATGATTTGTCTGGCCTCCAATCTTGATACGAGCGATGAATAGTGGGTTCAAGTCTCGGAGGATATCTGCCCCTCTGAACTCTTTGAACTGTGTCAGTTAAACAGCAAGTGACTTGATGTTAGATATAGAAAACTTACGAGGATCAAGAAGAAAGCCAGTTAAATACACATCGGATGGTGCATCATTTACCATTTGATTGAATCGGTAATTGACAGCTCGTCGAATCTCCTCGGTGACCTCAGTTGGCAAGCCAGTGATATCCTCTTCGAGCTCACTTTGAGCAGAAACAAGCTTGTAGACCCGGTATTTAAGCTTTTTAAGTGTATTTAATGTATATTTAATACAACCCCATACACCCACACGATTTTCAGTTATCCACGTTATCCACCTATGAATTTTGGCCTTGGGTTATCCACCGAGTTATCTACGTGGATAACTGGTGGATATCTACATCGGTGGATAACCAGGTGGATTTCCACGGAACACTAGTGGGAGGCGGAGAGACATTGGAAAATGCCGGGCGGTGTTCCACTTCATGCCAGCGGGATGTCGTACTGTCTATTTGCACAGTCTTCGGAATTGTCTACCCATCATGTACTCGTTTATCATGTCCTGCTTTTAAACGCCATGCTATCGAGTCGCTCAAGGGTGTAGTTGCACCACCCGGATCACTGATAACTCACACTTACTACGCACCACCTCAAGTTGTATGTTTACATTTCAACACCACCGCGACTAATCTCGAGGGACTGGCTTCGAAACAGCTAGGAACTCGTCAGCTTGAAATCCATGAGACAAGTATATCAAAAATATGCGGACTATCCCTTCGCGATCCCTTACTCTGGAGTGTGCATCAAGAACAATGATTTGGAGCGCTTAGGTGAAAAAGTTTGTTGTGGACGAGAGAAATAGGTTCTCAAGGAAGGTGCGCAAGTGTAAGTCTTCTCCTTCTCGTCCTCTGAGTCCTCATTATCGCGTCGCCCGTAAAACGAGCAGACAGTCATGGTCAACACCACAAGTAAATTAGAATGCAGTACGCCCTCAAGCTTTAAGTGCGTTTTGACTCCATAGTTCAACAGGGATGATATGATATCCACTTGGCAAGAACAACATTCGAACAAGCTGAAGTTTATAAACATACTTACGAGGCTATGAAGGCATCTTCAAGCGAGTTTCTTTCCACATGAAATTCCTTTCGCTCGTTGTCGGCATCAGCCTCCCTGGGAGTTTGCTTGTATCCCGTCTATCCTATCTGTACCTTTCGAGTCACCATCGAGCATTTTTACGCAGGTTCTTGCACATACAGCAGCAATAGAAGCTACAACATATACTTCAAGTAATGAAGTAAACTCATACACAAATTATGAGTTGCCTTAAATCATCGCACGGTCCGTGTCAGTTGGTGTAACAAGAGTACCCATTCTGAATGGCCCGTCGCCGATATTACGAAAAAGAAGTATAACACCTGGCTGCAGTGTCACAGTATTCCTTGCAACGGTTAGCACTTGACCAGATGGTTATGCTATCGGTGCTAAGGATACTTACGTTCTAGACTCAGATATGCAGGTTTCCACGGCATCGCATTGCTTTGAAATCGTAAGTTTCATTGGACGTATCATGATAGAAGCTGGTAGCAGTATGTACTGATAAGTGACATCTAACTGATCGCAATATGTCTTGATTGTTCCTCAGCGTACACTTCCACATACTCAATGTCCCCCGTTGTGCTAGCTTCCTTCGATACGCAGGCCCTCACAGATGCGATGTCATTATTTGGTTACCACGATTGCTCTGTGGGTGTTTTGAGATGATTACAATCTGGCGCATTCACAGCTCTTTCATTTTTTAATAGTATGTTGTGGTCCTAGCAGAAAACTCTCAAGGATTTTCATCGTGTTGCTCCTTCACATCATTTACCCCTTGATCCTCATCTGATCATTACCATGTTGTCTCGCAACCGCCTCTGGTCAGGCCCGAAGATCACTCAGAATCTGGTCACTCCTTCATCTCCATCAGCAGAGCTATCGAATACTTCGTCTTACGCGCCCGGGATCATGCATCTCCCCATCTCCATCCCTCCCACCCGTAACGCAGACCTTGGGAGATATTTACGGGGCGGATCTGGTATCAGCTTTTTCTCCTATTTCTCGTTGCCCTGACAGTGTGGTGAATACACTGCCATGCGTGCTTATGACCCATTCTCCCATAATCCCCATCGGGAGAATACCATGGCAGTTCTGACCATAGACACAGCAGAGGCGTCCACCCAGCAATTCCTCCGCTACTATGCGTGTATGGCCCTTTGTTTTTGGCGCTGTAAAGAATGCCACTCCGCTGATGATGGAATCCCCTTTGTGCCGCCTTCATGAGCCACTCACTTACATATAAAACCATGTCCTTTCTGTACCATAAGTGAATCAACTCCCACTCACTCATCACTCATGATTCATGATTCCTGCATGAACTCATCAACAGCCTTGCAGTGGGGTTTTTCTGTTGAACGAGCTGGAGCTGTACAAGCGTCTTACGTCCTCAAGGTGTCTTGCAAGCACATTTCTGATGCAGGTCGTTCCAGACAAACAACTCTATATATTCGTCATGGTATGTGCTTTTCCCCCTGTGATTCATTTGAGCCATTTGACTCCATTGTTCATCTCTAGAATTTCATGGCGAGCGACCTACATCGTTATGTGGTGCATCCTCCTGTGTCTGCCGCGGGCATTTTGGCAGGTGGAGTGTGCGATTCGTGAGTAGTTGCCGTTCCTTGTTATTGATTTCTCACAGCTCTGACTTTGAAGGCACTCGGCATCAACGCTGTTCACGACATAGGGATCATCCATCATGCCATCAAACCAGAGAACATCCTCATCTATATAAGAGAGAACGTCCGGATACACAACCTGACCGATATAAGGCGAGGGATTCATATTCAACCGCTCGCAAACTCTGTCTAGCCTCTTGGGCTGTCAGGCGTGTTGCATTGCCCGAAATGCTACACATAGTATCATTGAGCTTTCGCAACGTAACAGCTTCCACGCAGAAAGAATACACTCAGACATATCCTGGTCTCTGTCTTGCGTACACACGTCATATACGCAACATTTGGATCGGACATTTTCGGTTTCGTGTGGGTCTCGAACACAATCCCACGTCTGTGCCCTAGTCGAACCTTGGCCTCTTGGCTCGGGTACTCTTCGAAGCGCCGACTTTTCAAGTATGGACCTCCTGGCACGCTGCGTGGAGCACGCATGGATCCGCATGGGCAAGAACATTGACTGCCAAGTTCCGCCACCTTCGTGAAGCACAACAAAAACCTTAACGCCATCGGGGATGGTCATTTCCCCGTGGCACATCACGACGCGTCCCTCAGGATCAGCCTTCTTGGCTTCCGTCGCCCACCTCATCATGCTCCCTCACACACAGACACACTTAAATCCACGTGTCATTCGTCGGGCTACGGACGTCATTGGATCTCAAGACTACAATGTCCCTCGGTGGACTCCCGCTCGATATGTATTCAGCACAAGAATGAACTTGTAGACGGAACTGTTGACGTTCCACGCTTCCCTGGTTAAGGTCCATCGCGTGCCCCTGGAGATAAAACCGTCTACGGAGACTGAGAGGGACGTATTTCTTTGAAAGACGTTCGTGTTGTGATGTCCGATTCTCAGATGCGCTGTTGTGCATTTCGTCAAGAGTGGGAGAAAGTTTGGGTATGCGGATTGCAGGCCAAAGGGAGAAGGGTATTATGATACGATCAATATTGGATATACGTGCACGTTCGCAAATGGCTTCCTGTATTAAGTATGCAGAAGGAGAAGGACACCCCTTCGGTCGGCTCTTCGTGATAGTGTTTACGGTAGTAATTCGGGAAATACAATATTGTCATTCGATCGTCTCTGCAAACAGACGGTGTGCGATATACTAGCCTGCGAAATCCGAGAGAAAGAGTCTTGGTTTATCCAGCTGTCGCGGCGTTGCTTGGTGCGCTCCTCATCTCACCGGACTTGGAACGACCATGGCAGGTTAGCTTCTATCTATCATCTATTGAGACTTGTGCTCATGATGCTTAGGCCTGGCCACGAACGCTTCTCTTCGAGGAATCGCTAGCTATGTAATCGGATCTCTCTCAGCTCTTTCCGTCAGCACACTTCGAGTGGCTAGCGGCTAAGGAGAACATCAGCCTACCTGAGGCATCGATTCCAGTTCCAGTTCCTTCTATTCAAAATGTGTTCTAGATATGTATCAATTTCCCATGTGGGACCAGCCCTTTCTACGCGGGTGAGCATGAGGAAGACTAGACCTATTGTCCATCGACAACACGAAGGTCTCCGATAGACTGTGTGACGTAGTCGGGTACTATTGGTGAAGCGTTTGCGCCAGTGATATCTTGCTTCGACGTGATGCCTACAAACCACAACGTTCATTACAAGAGCTGATCGTTGAATTCGGAAACGTACCCGTCAGAACAAGGAGCGTTGCCAGACCCCCAGCTTGTCCGAACAGAATATCAGTGTTCAACCGATCCCCAACCATTATCGTGCGTTCCGGATCGAATTTCACTCTATTATAAATGCAGAATCATAACGATTTCCCGTCAACCAAACACTCCCGAAAGCTAGCTAAGACGGAGACACGTACTTGGCTTGAATACAATCCAACATCGTCTTCGCAGGCTTCCCAATACTAATTGGATCTCTCTCCAGTGCAAAGCGTAATGGAGCGCTGATAGCTCCTGCTCCAGGTAAGAGACCATTAGCGCTTGGGAACGTGCTGTCTTCGTTGGTGACTAGGAATTGACAGCCAGGGTTTCGTGTGAGGTATTGGAATGCTTTTGATAGTTTGGTATAGTTCACGCTGAGGTCTAAGCCGCAGAGGACGGCTTGGACGTCTGGGTCGAGGGAGAAAGATGAGAGGGAGAATGGTTCGAGGGTGCAGTCTGCTGGGTCCTGGGTGTGTGTGGATGCGTGTGAGTGAGTGAGTTTTGGTGGCGAGTAGGGTGCCAGAGCAGGCAGGGAAGGGAGATCGACATACCGTTCCACCAATGAAAGAAACGCCCTCTTCTCTCAGCTCCTCTTCGATGCCTGCCATCCCGATCACATACACCTTCTTATCTTTTGGAAGTTTCATGACGGAAGATATGTAAACGGCGGAAGCATATGCTGATCCATATATCTCTTCCTACATCCCATCAAATCAATCAGGAAACGGCCTCTGAATCCACCAAGACTCAACCCGAACGAAACACCCACCACACTTGCTTCTACGCCCAAGTGATCAAACTTGGCTTTATAACTCTTCCTCGACTTGCTAGCGTTATTGGTGACGAAAAGAATTCGCTTTCCTTCATAACATTCGTATCAAAAGATCGTAATCGTCGTCGTTATTTTCAATACCAAGTACTGTACACCCCTAGCACCCACCTCGCTTCCGAAGGATCTCCAAAACCTCTACGGCCCCTTCGATTAAGCGATCGCCATGCCATAATACGCCGTCGCAGTCAAACATCCATGTGTCATATTGTCGATTAAGAGGGAGTATTCTGGGCGGGTTGTGAGGTGTGTGGGCATGATGGGTGTTAGGCGTAGTGGGGGTGAGGGATTCCGCGGTAGAACGATCCCACAAACGTTCCAAACTGTGGTCTTACCGTGTTTGGTATTGTGCAGTCTATTCTTAGCTCACGTAATCTGTCCATCAGAAGCGCAACAAGTGTGACCGCAGGCTTACTTCTGGGGTTCTGCAACATTTTCAATAAATCTTTTGTAGCTCCTCAACCACATCACATCCTCTTCTATGAATTTGCACCTCTATAGATTCGTAGCTGCTCTACACAAATATGATTTTAAGGATTTTAAGGATTTTGTGGTGGAGTGTCGGACGATGGCCGAGAAAATTCAGGGTCTGACTGGTATTCTGCAAAACATAGTCACGTCGTGTCACACATCGGCACAGCGGCGGCACCATCAACTTTCACTCTCCGAAGACCCTGTCACAGTTGTGCAATGTGCGTCGAATCTCAACGTTGTGCGAAGCTTTGAAAATGAATACTATTGCAGATCATGGTTCATATAGTAATTATTGGGATTATAATGGTACTGTTGATAGAGTCCTGACTCGTACAGCTGATGGCCTGCATTACCAGAGCCCCCAATGTCATACATCTGTGCTCCACCACTAACTCAAAAACCCTGAGATGTACTAGTGAGAGGTCTACCAACTGGTAGTGAAGTGAGGGTGAAGAACAGGTGAAGAGCAAGGTACAGAATGGTCAATTGGGTAATATGGAGGCATGTGGCTGGGTGGAGGCAGATTCAGATCTATGTCTAGCATTGAAGAATGAGTGACAGGTTGTGGTGGATACCTGGATGGTTGGTTAATCAAATTTGGGGGAATCATATCTTGTGGGAATTCAGGAGCAACATTGTCATTTTTGAGACAGTGAAGGTTCAACAGCTCTGCTGGCTTGCAGAGCAAAAGAAAGAAAGAGGGCTCCCACTCTGAGGTGAGAGAAAGCCTACTGACTCTCTAAGTGTTGGTTGAAGTGTGCCAGGCAATATGTTCAACCTTTAAGGAAAGCAAGGAAAGCAAGATCTGCTGGGTGACACCAGGTCAACTCTGGTGAAGTGCACTGGAAGCACTGCATGGAATATGGAGTGCATAGGAGCGTGAAGTGTGGAAATAATGCACAAGCTGTGCATGGACATATATGAAACTGGTGAAAGGTGTGAAGATGTAAACTGGGACTGCTAAGTGGTGACTGATGCCAATGGACTGTTGCTGAGGGCTAGGGCAATGACTGATGCATGCTGGCTGAAGATAATGATTCTAACTCTAGACACTAACTGACATGATGGTGGTAGGTTCATTTGAAAACTTTCCTAGGCCACAGGTAAGCTGTGCCTAGGCGTGCTCCCAGGGCTCAGAAGCGAATAGGGAGCACTCTATGTATGTAAGTGAGGTAAATAAAGGGTCCATGATGAAATATAGTGTCATATAATGCTAAATATGGTCTGATAATGAAAATAGACAAAAAGGACTCACTAGGGAACTGGTTGGACAATGGATGGAGGCTCCAGGATGCTATGTGACATAGTGCGACTGAGTGTGGGAAAAGCATGTGCATGGGAACACATTGCGTAGTGTGGGAAAGTGTCATGCCTCTGGTGCATTTTGTGGGAAAGTCATAGAGGGTAAGCTGTGCACTGTACCAAACATCATGAGTCATAATATGGGCGATCTATGCCTGGAGGAATCTCATTCTCTACAATGGTGCCTGCAAGACTGAGTGGGATTAAATAAACCTTCATAGTGTTGATTTGTCTTGAGTTCCAGGTGGTCATTAAAGTGCTATAAGATTCGCTGTAACAATTCAGCTTTGAGTCCAGTCTCTGGCAATCACAAGGCTGTGGTTATATATGTCCTGTAATTCCTCCAGCTTTTTGGTCTTGATTGCACCTGTATATGCAGCTTGAGAGCACTCCTGCTCTGCTTGAATGAGTCTGAGATGATGCAATGTGATGCTGTGTATCAAACCAAGTTTGCTGTAGAGGAGATTGAATTTTTTACACACTCTCCTATCTGCTGTCACACTTTCATACATGTTGTCAATCATCTGTCTATAGCATCTTAAAACAAAAGAATGACCTCTATTGAAATTGTGTTCTGACACCCTGACAAGGTGTTTGATGTGCACCAGGTGTAACTTTTTGAATATCTCTCCAGGATCTATGGGATCTGGATCACTTATGATTATACAAGGTTGCAAATCACCACTATTCCATCTCTCATAGCTGCAACACTTGAGAAATTTTTGTTCTACTTGGATAGTACATCATCTATAAGTATTGTTAAGAACCATGCTCAAAGGAGAGAGAGACTGACTCAGAGGGGCTTGGCCTCAGCTTGTATGCTGTGCCCCTTACCTGAGTATGTGCCCTTCATTTCAGATGAAGTCCAAAGGACTTCCAGAGGCTGGCTACTCTGGTGGAGAGTGTGGGAGGACTTCCGGAGAAGCACAGGAAATATCCAGAGGAGTTCTCTCTGCACAGAAAGGGAAGAGACCCCAGGGTAATACCTCTACAGGAAACAGGATGGAAGGGTAGGAGGTCTGGAGGTCCAGAAATGGAGGACAGGGGGACTGAAGGTCTGGAGGTCCAGAGGTACACAGGTCAGGACATAGAGGTATGGAGGACAGGATGTTCAAGGGTTGGGAGGACAGAACATCCAAAGGACAGGACATCCGGAGGTCCGGAAGAAATAGGGGCTACATCAAACTTTGTCTGATGTAGAAGCAAACAGAGGTAGACTACCCTTAGGTAGAGTTGGAGAGACAGGAAGTGGACTAAAGTCCGGAGAGAGGGTAAGTGCTGGAAAGGCAAGACTCCAGTCTAGGGAAGCAATCCCTAGACTTGGGACAGAGACATAGGGGACAAATCTGAAGGTCTGGAATTCTGGCCTAGGGAATCCATCCCTAGGCCTTATGGAAAAGGACAAACTCAGATGGACTGAAGTCCAGAAGAAGATTGGGCAAGTAGAACAGGATCTATGTAAGATGATATTCAGACTGAGGAAACTACAGGAGTATCTACAGGGGTTATACACTGGAGAATATCTGAGGGGATCAGTAAGCAAAGGAGCAGGGCTATGTACGAGCATGTGGAAACACATTAGTGAGTAAGATGGAACATAACTAAATGAACTTGGAGATGAAGACTCATACAAAGATCAATCAGCAAGATGGAACAGGAGGTAACTGAAAGCTGGAAAGGCAGAGATGCCTAAATGGGGATAGGTGCAGGATATTGGACAGAGGGTGGAAATAGGTCTGGAGATCTGGGGATCTGGAAGATGGGGTGGATACAGGACCAGAATATGAGGAGGTGGATATAGTCCGGAATCTGAGATGAGGTGAAGTCTGGATGTCTTGCCAGATGGAATGTGCATAGGGGGGTACAGATCAGGCTAGCAGTGGAGATCTGATGGTCCAGAGCTCAGGGGTAAATCTGGAGCAGAGTCAATCCTGCTGAGGTGTGGAGCACACAGCAGAAGGGGATCTGGGAATGAGTTGGATATGAAGTGGGGTCTGGATGTAGGCTTGGAAGGCGTGGGAATATGATGGAATGTGGATCCAGATTGTGGGATATGACAAGTATCCTACATGTGCTTGAATTTTTTCAAGGTGATTCAAGCAGCACATTGAGGTATTTTGAACATTTTGCAGATTACATACCAGTTGCAGATTCCCAGGAGTGATAGTACCCATTCCCATACCTCCAGGAGCAGTAGAAGCAGTCAGCATTGGTACTGCACTGTGGTTTGTGGGTATGGGACTGGCTGAACAAATTTCAATTTCAGATCCTAGGAGATAATGGTGTCTTGAAGCAGTATGCAAGGAATATTTGATGTTGAAACTTTGTGGGAATCTGGGTGCCCTTGCATCCCACTCCATAAAGATCATGGAATATAAAAGTGATTAAGAACATGCACTGTCTGTCAGTCAGCATACAGTGCCAGCTACCAAGTATACCATGCACATATGATCATACAAACTAAGAAACCTCTGGTATGCTAACAACTGTTTCCCAATACCTCATCTTGGTAAAAAGAATCTTGAGCAGTGGAGGGTTCACATCATATGAAGAGTACCTCTCAGTATGGCTTTGTGGGGGGGCTGAAAACCATTGCACATGAAGGGGTCAGATCACAGAACAGTAATTATAAAATTTCCATGGCTTAGTCAGCATGTGGAGGTTTCAATTAAATTGGTTTGCAAGGTGTGCCACACATCATGATATAAGGGGCTGGTGAGATAACCCCATGCCATTATACTTCAGATGCATATTACAGCATCTCAGATCTCTTGCTAAGTGCTGCCCTTCCAGCACTACCATATGGGCATGAGATCTCACTTCTATTTGTGAGCTGCTATTGGTCTCTGCAGTGTTCTAGGTCTTCTGCTTTCTTTTTAACAGGACTCACCCAACTTGTCTCCTTTGTCTTTGTTTGTGATAACCAATGACCATTGCAAGGTGCCTTGCTGCATTAGGAAAACCTCAACTTACTTAATCAGACTTTTTTGGGCTTTCCAATGGTTTTCACTTCTTTTCAAAAATGAGTAGCCTTTTTTCAGTTATTTTTCTTAATTCACTGCCTGATCCCAATTTGAGTATCAGGAATAGTGCATTATTATTATTTCATACTGTTGGAGTTCACAATTTGTAAAGATTACCACTTTAGGAGAGGATTTGACAATCAAAATAATCAGCACTCTGTGCCACTTACTGTTATGGACTAGGATGGTCATAACAACAGTAGCTCAATAAGAGCGACAACTGAAGTTATAGTCAAGACCTTACAAATGTAAGGGTCATAAGACAAGGCAAAGAGAGTGTCTCTGACTTGAATATCGGTTTCAGATGACTTAGGATTGGGGACCCTAAGTGAAGGAAGTTCCAGGTGAAAACCTAGTAAGATTAAAGTAAGGAACTACTAAGTACATTATTGACTATATATAGGGTTGTAGACGATTTAGGGCAGGTGTGAGTCAACAATGAGTCAGAGATAAGAAATGAGTCATCTAGTGACAGCAGCAGGCGATCGTGATGTAATACAAAATGAGTCAACAGATAAGTCTAATGGCAGCAACATGCAGCTCATGACGTAATACAGATGAGTAAGAAAGGGAAAATGAATAGGGGCGTACATGACTGTAACATT